GAATCTGGGTGTCACTAGGAGAGAAACCTGCTATCATAAGACAATTCCATATCGCAGTTTTCTTTAGAAGAAGAAGAAAAAAACACTTTTTGGAGTGTGTAACCATAGGTGAAACCCCAAAGCCCCTAGTCAAAACTACAAAGAGATTTATTGCAAAGCTTTGCAGCTCACGCCTCCTCTTTGTACAGGGGGTAAAGAGCAGGGGGGGGGTTCCCTCCCTTCCTTCCCTTAAAATCAATCAGATGCTATTATTCAGCCTAAACCCAAGTTTATTGTCTCCATCTTCCTTTAGAGGCTGATTTGATGCCAGGTAGAAAATTGAGTTTCCTTTGCGTTTCTTTTCCCCCACACAATTCTTTGGCAGCTCAGGGACATTTGTCTGTGTGGGAAACCCACTTCCTGTCTCAATAAACAAGTACATGGAAGTCTTTTTCTGGGTACATAATAGAGACTTTCTCCCTCTCCCGTCTCCTCTCTTTTTTTAAAAAAATTTAATACAAAAAAAAACATTCCACACTTAACACATCAATGAACCCACTTAAGCTCTGCTGCCTCCGAATTAAAAGGAGAATTGTGTGATCAAAGAGTGTGAAAGAGCCACACATGGAGTACTTCAGACACTCTACTTTTGTTACATTTGATACATTACAAACTCAATAAATATATGGTTATCTCGGAGGCTGGTTTTCCTAATCTCCCAGGCTTCTGTTTAAAAGCATTTCTGGGCTAGACTTCTCTCTTTCTCTCTTTCTCTTTTGCTTTCTCTCTGCCCGTGTTGATTTTCTAACATTTGAGATTTTTAGTATCACACATCCTACTCCTATCCCTAGTATTACTATAAATAGGAGTTCAGATATAGTAACAATGATCAACAGGTAGCAGAGTGCAGGAGGTTTTAAGTAAATAACTCTATTCATATGCTTGCAATTATCTGAGACTTTTCAGTTCACAAAAAGAATGCCACACACACACACACACACATACACAAATGTATAGGTGTCCTGGGCTTAAGGAAATTGTAAAAAAAACCACTGAAGTATTTTTGAGAAACCTGCAATAATTAGATGAAATCGTAGACCTATTCATGAATACGAACAGAGGGGAAATACTTTGAATAACTGAAGTTGAAGCTATGCTAATGAGCCCCTACTCTGGCTTTACATAGATAGATACTCTGGCTTTTCATTATTGTTAACAATAGGGAAGCTGATGGTGTTCCCCCTCAATTCTGTTAGGAAAACCAAGATGATTTAAAAGTAACGGGGGGGGGGGAAACCAGACGTATCCATCACACCGTTCCTTCTCAGGGTGAGCGACTTGTGCACAGTGCAGAAAAGGTTAAGAAAGTCTCAGCCAAAGAAATTAAAGCATGAGTTAATACACCATTTCTTATACCTCTCCATCTATTTTTGTGGGTGCTCCATCGCTGGAGGTTTTCCAGGAAAAGATTGGACAACCCTCTGTCCAGGATGGTCTAAGACAGGGGTAGGCAACCGTGGCTCTTTTATGACTCATGGACTTCAACTCCCAGAATTCCTGCAAGTCCCTGGTCTAAGAGGACTCCTGCCTTGGATAAGTGTTGGACTGGAAGAACTCCCAGCTTCCTTCCAGATCTAGGAGCCTATGATTTTATGATTCTATTTCTGTCCTTGCAAACATTCCTTGTTTCTGTCCAAGACATCTACTGTTTTACAACTCGCCTTTCCTACTTTCCTTCGTAGGATCTCAACAACTCCACCCAACCATGGACTCCTTGCCTTTCTTCTCATCTGGGGAGAAATATATGTATTTTTTCCTCCCTCAATTGCAATAACGGAAAGACAGTTTTCCAAAATGGAATATTAAGAAATTGAGCATTCGCTCAATTCGAAGTTACTATGGCTGGGCTCAGGAATTCTGGGAGTTCAAGTCCTCAAGTTGTTGTCCATCTCTGATTTAAGGCATGTGCAGAAATGACCATCTTTTAACAAAAGTGTCTCAAACAGGCAGGCTGAGCCAGGGACATCCTTCAGAGGGATTGGGGGGGGGGGAGAGACAAGACAGTAATTTGATGATACAATTATGGTCAGTCTCTTGATTTTGTGGCACACACCCCATACGGCCACCTTCACAGCATCTTCAAGGGAGTGGAGCAGCACAGCTGCATGAGATATTTGGCTGCATCAAGAATTTCCTAAGTCCTTTTGCTTCATTCAATCTATACAGATGGAGCATGTCCAGAGGGCTACAAGCAGTCCTCGGCTTATGACAACTGTTGGGACCAGAATTTCCATTGCTAAGCAAGGCGGCTGTTGTGACCTCTTTGCCATGGCCGTAAAGTGAACCAGGAGGTCATTAAGCGAAGCTGGATTTCCTACTGACTTTGCTTGCTGGAAGCCAACGGAGAAGGTCACAAACGGCGATCCCGTGATCCTGGAACACGACCACCATTGTAAAAACATGTGAAGCACCCATATTTTGATCCCGCGGCCTTGGGGATGCTGTGACGGACAGATCTGAAGGCCCGTCGGAAGTCACCTTTTTCATGACCATTCTAACTTCAAAAAGCCCCTAAAGAAATGGTCGTAAATCAAGGACTACCTATATACATATATTAAAGCTGGCAGAGAATACCTTTCAGCCCAGTCTAACCGCGACTAAGCCACAATGCTGTCGCTTAGGAGACTTGCGGGTAAATCTCTAGGAAATGAACTGACATTCACATGCTTTCCACCACCCAGTCTCCGATGGGGCAGGCCGCGAGAGAGTTAAATATTTCTGCAATGTTCAATCAAGCTGTCTCTCATGAAAGTGCTTTTCTAACCACCCTGCTGGCTGCCATTCCGTCTCAGGGCAAGGGGGCCTCAGACAGGCAGTGACACCAAACATAAATCCGATTGCTTTGCTAACTGAAGAAAATAATGTTGGGGAATGGTTTCATTTCTTCCTTCTTCTTCTTCTTTTTTCTTTCTTTCCAGGCCCCCCATTGAAAGCCTATCACCCTCTTCCTCCCTCTTGCTGCAATTTGCCGTCCAACAGGGCTGCCCTCAAAATTCCAATTTTTATTCCAGACAGATGTGAATGCTGAAAAAAGAAAAGGGGAGGGGGGGTTAAGAAGCCATTTTGCAGTCGAGATCTGAAGTCAGTGGAGGGGGAGGAGAGAAAGGAGGGGGGAGTGCCTGCCTTCTTGGAGACACTCGCCATGTAATATTAATACGCAGAGAAAATATTTTCGGTCCATGCGTGTATTTATGAGATCCTCCGGGAAGACAAAATTCCTCCAGCCCACAGGAGAGGCTGAACGAATTATTGGAGGGGGGGGGGAAGCTGCTGATAGACAAAGTGCAGGACAGAATCCATTCTGGCACAGAGATTTTTCTCTGCGAGGGTAGCGGTATTGGTTTCATTTAATTCTTTCTGCCTGTTCATTTCTTTATTGCAAATGCTAGCCTGGGGAAACGTTCAAAAGAGGGAGGGGATGAAAAGGTAGGTTGGGAGTTAACACAGGAAATTAACCCTGCTGTGGCAGAAAGAGTAAATGCTGAGTAACTTTGGGGTGGAGGCTGTAAATATGCCCTTCCCCTTGGCTTGGAATTATTCATTGTCGATCACCCACCAAATCACAAAGCCAGTTGTTGCGCATTATAAAATAGTAGAACCGCTGGGCTAGAAGTCATCTTGGAGGTCTTCTAGTCCAACTTTCTGCCCAAGGCGAGACTCTTTAGACCATCCAGGACAGATAGTTGTCCAATCTTTTCTTGAAAACATCCAGTGATTGAGCACCCACAACTCCTGGAGGCAAGCTGTTCCATTGATTAATTGTTCTGTCAAGAAATTCCTTCTGATTTCCAGGTCAGATCTTCTGAGGAGCTTCCACCCATTGCTTCTTGTCCTGGCCTCAGGTGCTAGGGAGAATAAATCAACCTTCTTTTTCTCTGTGACAGCCCTTCAAGTATTGAAAGATGGCTATTGGGCCTCTCCTAAGCCTTCTCTTCCTTAGGCTACACATACCTAGAGCCCTTAACTGTTCATCATAGCGTTTAGCCTCCAGACCTCTTATCATCTTTGTAGAAACCATTATAGTTGAATGTCACTGTCACAAGTGATGTTTTGGAAAGGTGACATGGACACTTGGGACTGGCGTCGGCTCTGTGGATTCTACAGTCTGCATTATCAATAGAAGAGAATATTTGTAGCTTGGGGATCAAGTGTAAAGACCTTGGTTTTCAACAGAGAGACCTAATTTCAGAGGGAGCACCAAGGATTCCAGAGTCTGAATTAAGTGAGCAAATTGAGAACCAAGGAAAAAAATGGGTGAGAGAAAGGGTGAATTTCATCAAGCACTTTAAAGAAGTACCTTTTCAGGAGGGCTTGCTTGGTGATTCAAGAAGATATTTTTATGCCCTTTCGGCTATAAAGCCAAGTCATCGCCTACCAGGAAGATTTCTCACCTGCAAAGAATCTATTTCAGTGATCCATTGTGGAGTTATAATAATAGCAAAGTTGGAAGGGACTTTGGAGGCCATCTAGTCCAACCCCCTGCTCAGGCAGGAAATCCTACATCATTTCAGACAAATGGCTGTCCAGTCTCTTCTTAAAAACTTCCAGTGTTGGAGCATTCACCGCTTCTGGAAGCAGGTTGTTCCACTGGTTAATTGTTCTAACTGTCAGGAAGTTTCTCCTTAGTTCTTGGTTGCTTCTCTCTTTGGTTAGTTTCCACCCGTTGCTTTTTGTCCTGCCTTCAGGCACCTTGGAGAATAGCTTGACTCCCTCTTCTTTGGAGTAGCTCCTGAGATACTGGAAGGCTGCTATCCTGTCCCCCCTCGTCCTTCTCTTCATTAAACTAGACATACCCAATTCCAGCAACCGTTTCTTATATGTTTTAGCCTCCAGTCCCCTAATCATCTTTGTTGCTCTTCTCTGTACTCTTTCTAGAGTCTCAACATCTTTTTTACATCGTGGTGACCAAAACTGGATGCAGTATTCCAAGTGTGGCCTTACCACGGCCTTGTAAAGTGGTATTAACACTTCATGTGATCTTGATTCTCTCCCTCTGTTAATGCAGCCTAGCACTGTGTTGGCCTTTTTGGCAGCTGCAGCACACGGCTGGCTCATATTTAGGTGATTGTCAACTAGGACTCCGAGTGAGATGGAGTCATCTGTGCAAGGATGTCCTGATGCACTTGACTGCCATGGATGTGGTCCCATATAAGCAGCATTAGGAAATAAAATGGCAGAAGACCGTAATACAGATATTTGAATTTTATAGCAACAGTCCTGCCTGTATGGGAAAAAGGAAGAGAGTAAAGAATATTATGGGCTAGAAGTGGGGAGTCAATTTCATCCATTTAATCAGAATAGAGCTGGAAGGGACCTTGGAGGTCTTCTAGTCAAACCCCCTGCTCAAGCAGAAGACTATATACCAGGGGTGTCAAACTCAATTTCACTGAGGGCCACATCAGCACTGCGGTTTCCCTTGGGGACCGGGTGGGTGTGGCCAGAGTGGGTGCAACCTACTGGGTGGGTGTGGATGGGAGTGGGTGTGGCCTACTGGGTGGGCGTGGCCAGTTCTACATCATTCGCGTCAAGGGGGCCTGTGGGGGCCTGGGCAGGAGTGGGGCAGATCTGAGGGTCTCTGGCAGAAGGCGGTGGGACCGGAGCAAGTGCCAAGGCATGGTCCACTGGGGCAAGTGCTAAGATGGCCACCACAAAATTGTACATTGGCTCCTGGCTGGCCTGGGCCAGGGCCAAGGCAGCAGGGGCCATTCCCTGTTTCCAGGATGGCTTCGCGAGCACATGAAACCACTTCACGGGCTGCATCCAGCCCCCGGGCCTTGTGTTTGACATGTCTGCCATATATCATTCCAGACAAATGGCTGTCCAGTCTTTTCTCAAAAACTTCCATTGATGAAGCCCCCACAACCTCTGAAGGCAAGCCGTTCCACTGGTCAATTGTCCTTATTTTTAGGATTTTTTTTCCTGAACTCCAGGTTGCTTCCCTCCTTGATCCATAGTTTCTTGTCTTGCCTTCTGGTGCTTTGGAAAATAAGTTGACCCCCCCCCTCTTTGTGGCAGCCCCTCAAATACTACAAGACTGCTATCATGTCACCCCTAGTCCTTCTTTTTTCGAGACTAGCCATTTCCTAGTTCCTGCAACCGTTCTTCCTATGCTTTAGTCTCCAGGCCTTTAATCATATTGTTCTTCGCTGCACTTTTTCCAAAGTCCCAACATCTTTTTTGCAATGGGGTGACCAAAACATGTTCCTGGCAAATGAATATTTTGTGACCAGCCGTGTCTTCAATGGCTATCCTTTTGTGAATGCACAACTCTCCTAGCAGCTATTTTACCCAACCTCAAATTCCCATAGGCTGCCTGCATCTGCCCAGAGAGATTGCCTCTTCTGTACGTTCAGTTGCAAAGATCTAGTAATATATCTTTGGGGGAAAAAAATATATCCCTTCGCCAGGGGCACAGAAAGCCAAGACCTACCCAAACAGACAGTTCATCTCCTAAAGCCAATAAAAAGGTGGTGGAAATGATGGAGGAGAGATTTAACTGCAGCCTGGCAAACGTTTTTCGCCTGTGCACTTTGGGAATTAATTTGGATTTTTGAGCAATGACAAGCAATTACCTCTCTCTCGCATTTCAGGAACATTTGGGTCCAGTCCAGCTTCTGAAAAAAAAAACCCTGCTGGTGATTGGATGAAAAATGTCAGTTCATTTTGTATCTCGCATTTCGCTCGGTCTGCTCCCAACATCTTTCCCAGGGCGATCCAGAATGTTATGAGATCCTTGGCAAAAGACACGGATTTAAAAGCTGCTTTATGATTACTCTTATTAGTAAAACCATTATTGAGCAGCAGCGTAGGATTATTGCCCGAGATGGTGGTAAGTATAATATAATGCAATACAATAAAGGAACATGGGCACCCAGCATTCCGCGGTTTAATGAATCCGCCATGAACAAGAAGAACAAAAATCAATAGTTTCCCATTTCCTCTAGATTATACATTATAAATTTCCTTGGAGTTTGGGGCGGGGGGGGGGGAGAGAGAGAGACAGAATATCTACGAAGCTCGCAGGCATGACCAAAATCTTCCCATTCAACTTAAAACAGGAAGCACTGGCAACCAAATGGAAGTGAAATGAAATGTTAAGGGCTTCTGCAAAATTGTTTATGTGTGTTTGTCTCTTTCCTTGTGTGTGTGTACCTGCATGCATGCATGCATGCATGTTTTGTGTGAATACATGTACACCCAAACACACTCACACCCAGACTGCAGGCATCTATAGTCTGTGTCTGTCAAGCACAATTCTCTCTTGATGAATGACAAGGTACGATAATCGGGGCTCAGGTTGCCATGGCAACCAGACAGCCAAGCTGTGTGCCTTGAATTTTGTCATCTAAAAATGAAACCAGAAGCTAAAGGCAGGGGAGGGGGGGAGAGAGAGACAGAGGGAGAGAGAGAGAAAAGGAGAGAAAGATGTGAGTAGAGCCAACAGATTAACTCATAGGAGCAAAGGAAGACGGATGGCAGAGCGGGTAGCTAGAAGTAAAGAGAAAGCCAGAAAGGCGAAGGGGTTAAGGAGGAAAAGAGGACCTGGGCTCAGCAACGAATGTCATGGGAATGTAAAACCTTACTGTGATTTGTGGGGTCCTTGATGCTTTTTGAGCTTGGCTGTTTTCTTGCAGACGTTTCTGCAAGTGGTAGAAGTCCTTTTATCGCTGATGATATTACCTAGTTGGGTCATGAAACATCTGCAAGAAAATAACCAAGCTCAGAAAGTGCTAAGGACCCATAGTTCTATACCCTGAGCCACAAATATTCCCTTCCATTGTTATTGTGATTTTGATGGCAATTAGGATTGGCAAAGTGGCTTCTCTATTTAAACATCTGAGAACATCTTAGGTTCCTGCTCTAGGATATTAGAAGGGTGGGAGGGCCCTTCGACCACTTCTTGGGGGATCTGTAAGGGAAGCCCTACACCAGTGATGGCGAACCTTTTAGAGACCGAGTGCCACCCCCTTCCTGCCCCCACTCCATCCCCCATCCACCACCCCGCCTGCCCACAGGGCCACTCACCGCCTCCAGGGCCCACCGCAGATCGCCCAGGCAGTCCAGCAGCACTATGGCGGTCACGCCCACTGCCCGCACCCTACAGCATCAACTGTGCATGATGGGGTGTGAGGGCAGAGTCTTGTCTATGCTGCCTGGCTGCCATGTCCTTGGATGCACTGCTCTGCATGGGCCACACTCAGGGGCGACTCTCCTTCATGGGGGCTGCTGGAGAGGAGAGGTCACGGGGGGAGGCGAGGCTGGGGCAACGGCACGTGTGCCCACAGAGAGGGCTCCGAGTGCCGCCTCTGGCACCCGTGCCATAGGTTCGCCACCACTGCCCTACCCCATTGATCCCCTTGGGACAGGAGGTCTGTGCTCCAGGGAGAATATAAAGACAGTCCTGTTGGCTTAGATTGATGCTCCCGCTCAAGGCTGACTCAAGGCATTTTGCTGCCTGAAGCAAGGGACAAGACGGCCCCTCTTTTCATTGCATGCATGAATACCAAGTGGGCTGGCTATGGAATCCATCATCAACATGGACCATGGAATAAAAAGCTATTGGAATTCAGGATAAGTTGTATTTCATTTGAAGCACTCTCTTCCAACATCCTGTTGGTTCTCACTTTGCCTATTGGTAGGACAAACCATTGTTGATCTAATCAACAATTAGATTGTATAACAATAACAACAATAATAAAAAGCTAACATGGAGATGGTTGAGATCAGAAGTGCTGAAGAAAGAAACTGAAGGCTTCATTTTAGCTGACCAAGAACAAGCCTTGCGGACCAGTTCCATGAAAGCAAAAAATCCAACATCTCAGCAACAACAGCAAATGTCGCTTATGCAACGAGAAAGATAAAATAGTGGAATCCCTTATCAGTGGCTGCAGCAAAATCTCACAGACTGATTATCTACAACGTCATGATCAAGTTGCCAAAATTATACATGGGAAGCTTTGCCAGAAGTTTGGGTTCGAATGAGGCTAAAATTACTGGGAACACCAAATTTAACAAAGTTCTTGAAAATGAGCAAGTCCAGATCCTATGGAACTTTTGGATCCAAACAGACAGATATCTGGCCTGACATAATTATTGTGGAGAAGAAAAAAGTTGGGTTCATTGATATTGCAAGAAACAATGGATGGAAACTAATCAAGGAGAGAACGAACCTAGAAGTAAGTTTTCTGACAGTGAGAACAATCAAACTACGGAACAGATTGCCTTCAGAAGTTGTGGTGCTCCAACTCTGGAGGTTTTCAAAAAGAGTCTGGACAGTCACTTGTCTGGAATGGTATAGGGTCTCCTGCTTGAGCAGGGGGTTGAACTAGAAGACCTCCAAGGTCCCTTCCATCTTTATTGTGTGTGTATGTATGTATGTGTGTATGTGTGTAATCTTGATATCCTATTTCCCAATATATATCCAGTTGGATATATATAAGATTTTATCTCAAGCTATAAAATGGGTAAAATTCTTTAAGAATGGGGTGAATCTCTTTAAATTACTGGTGAAATCTGATCAGCGTAGGATCAATTTACTCATTTTTCTTGAGATAAAGCATATGTGATTTGTTCTGAGAAGATAAAATATTTTTTCAATTAAGCAACATTTAGACTCTAACCCCTCCATTTTTTTTTCCAGGCACCAAACATACCTAATACTCTTCCTTCCTCCTCTTTTTCCCAGAATAACCCTGTGAGGTGCATTGGGCTAAAAGAGTAGGACAGATCCAAAGTCACTCAGCCAGTTTTCATGCCTAAGGTACAACTAGAAGTCACAATGTCCTGGTGATTGGCCCAACGTCACTCAGTTGGCTTTCATACTTAAGGCAGGACGAACTCATACTCTCTTGGTGATTGGCCCAAAGTCACCTGCTGACTTTCATGGCTAAAGTGGGACTAGAACTCACCATCTTCTGATGATTGGCCCAAAAACACACAGCCGGCTTTCATGACTAAAAGAAGACTAAAACTCAATATCTCCTGGTTTCTAGCCCAGGACCTTAACCACTACCCAAACTGACTCTCTAGGTATACATATTCTTGATTTGGTTTTTGCACCAGAAAGTGACAGGGTTGCAAAAAAATAGGAGACAGCATGATCTGATATGGTCATGACTGAAAACCATATCATCTGCCTTTGTGATTAGAAAGCTCTACACAAGGACACCATTGACAATGGTTGAATTCAGAGAGGCTAATGGGATATTCTGGCAGTACATCTTAAATGTGGTTATTTATGTATCCATTTATGCCTTATATATAGGTATAATTTTGGGGTTCTCTACCTTTAATGTAGATTTCTTTCTAAATTTGTGAATGACTCAACCCTTTCATTCACTAGTAGTTGAAATTGACTACCTGGGCAACTTTCTTTCTTTCTTTCTTTCTTTCTTTCTTTCTTTCTTTCTTTCTTTCTTTCTTTCTTTCTTTCTTTTTTTCCCTTCCTTCCTTCCTTCCTCCCTCCCTCCCTCCCTCCCTTCCTTCCTTCCTTCCTTCCTTCCTTCCTTCCTTCCTTTCATCCCTATTGTAGGGGATGACTAAGGAATTCTGGAAGTTGAAGTCCACACATCTTAGTTGCCAAAGTTGAGAAACACTGGTCGATCTGTCTGTCTGTCTGTCTGTCTGTCTACCTACTGGTATACATAGACAGATTTCTGGAGTTCTCTGGTTAAATGGAAATCCTGGAAAAAGAGTAGAATACTGCTTCAGGGCACAATCAGGCAGAACGTTCTTTTCCTACATGTTTTTCTACCGCTTTTCTCTCACAGGGAATAAAATAATTTTGGGGAAAAAAAATCTATGGATGGTGACTTTGCATTTATTCAGTGACAAGCGTCAAAGGAATGTGTGCAAATGTGCAGTTTTTCCTTGAACAATTATCACTCCAACAAGCAGCAGCCTCTCTGGCTTCTGATGCCTCACCTAAATTATGATGGGCAAACTCAAAAGGAAGCCCCTCCCCTTTTTGGTTGGAAAAGCTGAGCATCCAGGGCAACTTCAGAATAGTCAACAACAACATCAGCCAGTGTTTCCTCTGCTTCACTGAATGATGAAGAACACAAAAACCATCACCTAGAAAAAAATTGGAAGTATTTTCTCAGATAGGACGACAATAAGAAAAATGAACACAGTTTTCTTTTAGAAAGGAAGAAAGTGTTTGAGGAAGTACAACACTAAATACATGAGTTCAGAGACCAAATTACTGCATATAGAACAATCCATAGGTATATGGAGGCTAAAACACATAAGGAACGGTTGCTGGAATTGGGTATGTCTAATTTAATGAAGAGAAGGACGAGGGGGGACATGACAGCAGTCTTCCAGTATCTCAGGGGCTGCCACAAAGAAGAGGGAGTCAAGCTATTCTCCAAAGCGCCTGAAGGCAGGACAAGAAGCAATGGATAGAAACTAACTAAGGAGAGAAGCAACCTAGAACTAAGGAGAAATTTCCTGATAGTTAGAACAAATAATCAGTGGAGCAACCTGCCACCAGAAGCTGTGAATTCTCCAACACTGGAAGTTTTTAAGAAGAGACTGGACAGCCATTTGTCTGAAATGGTATAGGGTTTCCTGCCTGAGCAGGGGGTTGGACTAAATGAACTCCAAGGTCCCTTCCAACTTTATTCTTATTATATACTACAAGGCAGCATAAAAAGCAAGTGTTTACACGTGTTTAGACACGAACAACTACAAATAGAATTACCCAGGTTTCAGAACCTACTGACACAGAAGCACTATCCAGTTTCAAACTTCTTGGGAACAAATGATGAATGGAAGATAGCTCTGCTAAAATTGGAGCTGATGACATTGATGGAATGAATTGATGACTAGTAGACCGGCTCTTCATAATTCCTCTCCAGACAAGGAGAGGACTTGAGATTGCCCTCAAGTGCTCCAGACCATTGTTTCTTGCGAGAACATTGCAAGGTAGTGGTCTCCAATGCGTTCAGAGCTCTGGGAGATGAGGGAATCACCATCTTGCTCAAACCATGGTCAGCCCCTTGAAGGAACCTGGGATTACAGACTATCTTTTCTAATCATTTTTTAAATTGCTTTTCTGCTATTTGGAGCCTTTGGATCAGTGTTTCTCAACCTTGACAATTTTAAGGCATGTGGACTTCAACTCCCAGAATTCCACAGCCAGCAGTGCTGGCTGTGGAATTCTGGGAGTTGAAGTCCACATGCCTTAAAATTGTCAAGGTTGAGAAACACTGCTTTGGATCAAGAGATTTTAAGCACTGGGTGAGTTTCCTTCAATCCTTAGTGAAAGAAGTTTCAAATACAAGTTTAAGGACTTTTTTTTTTTGAATAAACAGCAAGAGAGTGATTACAATGTTGATTCTGGAAAGTTACAAATAGGCTAAGGGATTTGTAATAAGATTTTGAAATTAATTATAAGAACCTTTCCCATGGACAAATGTTTTGATTTTTTTTTTTAAAAAAAAGTGATAATATGGGACTTTGAAGGCTGAACACTAGAGGGAACTAGAAGAAACTACAGATTACAATTAAAAGAGACGAACACTTAAATTGGATTTCCTAACACAGAATGGAGCAAAATGCTTTAACACTGGGCAACATTTTTTAACAATAGGCCCAGAAGTTAATGTTAAGGAAGCGTGGTCTTATAGATAGTCTGTATTTTAAAGAAATAATGGAAGAAAAATGAGTTTTGCCAAACAAGACTGAGATTGATCTG